AAAATATCACTCTTTTCACATGATATCATTCCTCTTTTAGAGGCCTTCTGATTGGAAAATAGAGGTTTCCTGGTGAAAATGGAGGGTGCTGTTGATTCAGCCATGCCGTCCAACTTGGCTGTTCAATTCTTGAACTGAAACTGTCAAAGTCAGGCAAACTTCTGGCACTGTGGAGATTGTATTTCAAAGTTAGGGAGTCTTTCATTTCTGGTCATGTAGAAATTTTTTTAGTCCTATAACTTATGACAATGTTGACTGAGGATGATGATGTTGGTGCTGATTGCAAAGAGCAATATTGTTTTGACTGACAAAATTTTATCACTTTAATGACAACAATATTATGGTGAATAGCAATAGTAATTGGACTGAGTGGAGTACAATTCAGAGAGTAACCATGCGAGTAATTTCAAAATTGGACGACCACAAAGCGTGAGGCCGATTTGAAATTACGAGCACGATTACTCCCTGAATTGTATGACACGAGGTCCAATTACTAATTAATCATATCTATAACAAATTTCAGAATTAAAGATGTCTTTTGAGAACTAGTTTTGAGCAAATTCCATCTGTAGCGCTTTTCATAAGCTTTGATAACTGTAGAAAACATTGTGAAGGAAACCTTTAAAGCGCACGTAATTGACGTGCAAATCACGTGGGTATCCATTACAGGTATCCAATCACAAAAGGTTCAAATTGGATACCTGTAATTGGACACCCACGTGATCGCGCACTGATTAAGTGACAAATAGGTGTGCAGAGAACCAATCACGATCAAGAATTTTGTTATAGATATGATTATGGTGATAATTATCATGATGTGACCAATTTCTATAATTATCATGATGTGACCAATTTACTAGAAAACTAATGAGTTAATGCTTAAGGCTCAAATTTTGACATGCACAACACTTAAACTTTATGCAGAGAAAGACTAAGCTTGAGTCAAACTGCTAATCCAAACTATGACTCGTGTTTTAAATGATTTAGCACAATGGGTTATGTGGGTTAAAGTGCAAGTGAAGATGCTCTGTACCAAAAAAATCTAGTTTCATTAGGCAGGGGCATTTCGTTATCTGAAAAGGATATTATGTGAATTTGTTCATCTCGGAGTTCCTCTTGTGGGATTTCCCGCCTTGCAACAGCATATGAGGGTATACTATAGTGCCCAGATAGTTGTGGTGGCTGTAAAATTTAAAAGGAGTGGAACAAAAGTAGAGTAAAACTGTTGCATTTCTTGTGATGAAATATTAACAATTTCTAGCTGAAATAAAAAAAGGAATAATACGATGACATGAAGTTGTCAAAACGTCTTGCTACTTTACTTACATTAATTTTCTTGCATAAATCTTCTTCTTTGTGTTTTAATGTTTTATTGATAGAAGTCACCAGAATGCACATTGATCATTTCATGTATGGTAGAGTCAACCCACCACGGA